TTCCAATAACACAAGAGGAAATAGGCTAGAGAAGGTATGGGACCTGCACTGATTGGAATCTGGGTCTGTGCTATCTCTCATGAAGGTCTGTGCTTGGAACAGTACATTAAATTGCAGTGTATATGTGAGACGCATGAAGTCCCCAAGTCTACTTAGCCTCCTGTTATGGTTTGCATCTAGATAGCCCTCCAAGCCTCATGTAGTCCTGAATGTGGCTGAATCTAGTGTTTGTGATTGATTCATTGTCTAGCACTGGGATTAACGGTGTGAGTGCTGTAACCACCAAGGAGCCAACATACAGTGTAAGGGTGGGAGGAAGGTGTGTTTTTGCTCTTCTTGCTCAGTTAGCTCTTGTTGTTTGCAGTGGCCATGAACAGTTGCCCCGCCACACCATCCTGCCTTGGAGCCAACTGAGTATGGACTGAAACCTCTAAAACTGTAAGAAACAAATCTTTCCTTCCTTCATGTTGGGCATTAGGTATTTTGTTTCAACAATGAGAGGAAAGTAACTGAGACAGAATTTGGTACCAGGAGTGGGGTCACTGCTGTGACTGTACCTGACATGTGGTTCAAAAGCCTTTGTAGGAACAGTCTGGAAAGGTTTGGAGATGTTGCCTGAAAGAGTGGCACTGGAACAGCTTAGGCTGTTCTGTAGGGGAGAATTTAGTCAGAACTCAAGAGACCAGGTTTACAGAAAGCCTGCTGGTAAAGACCAGGTTTGGGAGGTTTTTGCTGGGAAGAAGGACTGCATTGGTTGTTGGACTCCATATGATGTGTATTATGCCTTGGCAGAAAGTTTGTCTGCATTTTGTTTGTGTCCAGACTTTGCCTGAAACTGAGATTAAGGGTGATGGACTGTTTAATCTGGCAAAAAAAAAAAAAAAAAGTTTTTTCAAAGCAGTTGAATGTTGAGGTGGTAGCATGGCTATTGCTGGCTTTTAGCTATTTATGTTGCAAATCAAGAGCAAAGAGCCCAGCAGGGTGATTTAAAAGGTTGTGAGTTTGGCCAAAAGGAAAGCTCCAGTAAAGCTATGGGCTGTAAAGACAGGGCTGAGACCTTGATTGCAGAGAAGGAACAGAGAAATAAAAAAGATGGCTTGGGGGCATCCCGGGAAGCAGCAGGTTTCTATCCTTCACAGCCTCAAAACTGCAAAAGTGAAAGACTTTGCTTAGAGGAGAAAGCTGCAGAGTGCTGTGTTCCAGAATGGCAAGAGGCCACAGGAGGTTGCAAAATGGTGGCGGCTGCACCAGATTCCAGAATGGTGACAGCATAAAAAAAGCTGTTCCTCACAATCAGGTTAAGAGTGCTCAGTGATCCAGGCACTCTACTCCTACAGCCAAGAAAGACCAAAGGCTGGCTACTGCTCCAGTTGGCAGCAGATCTTGGGCACTGGTTTCAGGAGAGTGAAGAATGCACAAGTTCTGAGAGCAATGCAGCTTCCACCCTGATTTCAGAAGGCTGGGAGAACAGGCCGTTGTCCCCCTGAGAGGGCAATGTATGAAGCTGTGAAAATGAAACCAAAGGTACAATGGAGACCCCAGAAGTTTGGAAAAGCCAGGAACATGAACCACCAAGGAAAGCTGCAAGACTGAGCAGAAGGGGCTTAAGAAAGGAGCCGCAGGAGCTGAAACTCCAGGAAGTGCTGCAAGGGTGGAGTCATTCAAGTCTTTTGGAGCTTGCAGCCAGATTGTTTCAGATGCTGAGTGTGGAACTCCTGGACTTAGAAATTTGCTCTGCTGGATTTTGGACTTGCTTTGGTTCCAATGCTTTATTTTTAGTTTTATTTTTTGGTACCAGGAATCAAGTCACAACCTCACACTTGCTAAGCAGACGCTTATGCCATTGAGCTAAATCCCTAGCTTGGTTTCAGTACTTTGTATTCTCCTGTTTATAACTTTTGAAATGGTAATGTTTATCTTATGCCATTATATGTTGGAAGTGTTTAACTTTGTTTTCATTTGTACATGGGCTTGCAGCTAAGAGTTTGCCTTAGATCTCAGAGGAGTCTTAGGACTTGGACTTTTCAGCAATGCTGAAACTGTTAGGACTTTGGCAACTCTTAGAGATGAACTAAATGTCTTTTGTATAAAAGATGTGCATGAGACTTTGGGGGGCCATAGTGGAATACTATGGTTTGTTTCTGGGTGGCTCCCCAAGCCTTGTGCAATCATGAATGTGGCTGAATCTGGTGTTTGTGATTGGTTCATTGTCAAGCACTGGGATTGATGGTGTAAGTGCTGCAGCCACTCAGGGGTGGAGCCAGCATACAGTGTATCGGTGGGAAGATGTGTTTTTGCTCTTTTGCTTAGTTTGCTCTTGCTTTGTGCTGTGCCATGAACAGCTTCCCTGCCACACCATTTGCCTTGCAGCCAACAGAGTATGGACTGAAACCTCTAAAACTGTAAGAAATAAACCTTTTCTTTCTTCATGTTGGGCAACAGGTATTTTGTCTCAACAATGAGAGAAATGTAACCAAGATACCCCAAATCAAAGGCAAAACCACAGGCTCATTCTTCCTATCCTCTGCCCCAGAATATAGTCCTGGTTTACTGGGAATTACCTAGTTTCCTTTTTTTTTTTTTAATCCAAATTTCTAATTTTTTTTTTTTGGTCTTTTTGAGATACGGTCTCACTATGCAGTTCAGGCTGGTCTCAAGCTCAATTGGCAGCCCACGCTGGTCTCAAACTTGCACATGATCTTCATACCTCAGGCTCCCGAGTGCTAGGATTACAGGCATGTGCTACCATGCCTAGCTAAATCTAGATTTCCAAAGGCCTAAACAACTTTTCCTGATCTTTCTCTAGAATGCATGAGACCTGCCTATGTATGGCACACAAGGTGACTTTGCAATTTGTAACTACATGTTTAGGTTTTGGTTGCTCAGTGCCCATCTCTGCCATGAAATGTGAGTCCTGCAGTGTTGGCTTGAGTACTTGGCTCACTGTTTTCCAAGCACCTACAATATGTATGTGCATAACAGACCCTCAGGAAGACTTGCTGAAGCCCTTTAATCATCTGTTGCTCCATTAACCACATGAAGCAACTTCCAGGAATGAAATCTCTCTGTTGCTTCCCTTCCAGGAATGAAGTTTCTGTTGCTTCCCCTAAAATCAGCTCACAGTGGCAGGAAAAGCTGAGAAAGGGCAAAACTTTTTTGGATTGTCTTTTCCAAAAATAGAGTGGAAAGGACAAGAAATATAAAGGGAAAAGGTTCTGACAACTCAGGCTCCTTCCCATTGGTCCTCACAAAGTGTGCTTCTCTGGGTGAAGCAGGCTAGCGCTTCAGTTGAATCCAGGTACCTTTCTCTTTGGCTTCCTTTTTTTCCTGATCATTTTCCTTGACACATTTCAGGATGTTATCCCAACGCTGAGTGTTTAATATGCTCCACATGCACATTAATCCTCTGGGCAAGTGTCTTGCCTTTAACTTGTTTACTGTAGTGCCAACACCATGCTAGGTGACACTGTAGGCTCTTCCTGTTTTGCCATGGTAACATTTGTGTGGCATTCCTTTTTGCACAGTATCCTTACCCTTGATGTCCACAATATCACCTTTTTGTGTAGATTAACATATATACATGGCCAAAGGTACAGCTTCATGCTTTCTAAAAAGCCTAGGGAACATATAACTGGATTCCTCTCCTCTTTCCCTTTGTGTTTGTCATTTTGGCAAATTACTGGAAGACAGTGGTTGCAGATAAGCTGAGGCTGCAGCTCAGGCCATTCAGTACCTAACTGGTGGCTAAGTATTCTAGGCTCTACTTAAAAGTAAAAAATCATCCTGTGTGTAAGGATGGTTTTCTTACACACAGGTATGGTACCTTTACCTCAGAAACAAATATTTTGAGCAGATTTTCATTCTACCTAGTTAACTGTGTCAAGTCTTTACTCTTCAGTGTTTTCCTTGTGGAAAGGTATTGCTGAGGTATTGTGTAGGTGTATACCCAAATGGCCACAGGTTTATGAAATACCTTTATTGGCTTGATCTTGTAAATCACTATGGGAAAGGATTATCAAAATAAAATGGAAGTCCATTTCAGTTAAATAAGTTGTTTAAAGCAATATATATATATATATATATATATATATAGAGAGAGAGAGAGAGAGAGAGAGAGAGAGAGAGAAAGAGAGAGAGAGAGAAGATTCAGCAGTAAATAAATAACACAGTTTTCCAGCCTGAGTCTTCTGGGGCTGAGATCAAGAAGGAAGCAGAAAAGGACTGCGGGCAACCAATGCTAAGGACACCAGACCCTCCGTGGAACCAGCGCTGCCCTCCAAGCCTGGTCCCATGCTCGGGGATTATGGTAACAACTGTGCAAGCATCATCACTCTTATTGTGCTCAGCTGAGGCCCCATCCAGTGCTATAGCCCTCTGCATCCCTGCCATGTGATCTCTGGATTTAAGCACAATTTACTCTCTGTGTATAGGATTTTGGAGTAATTTTAACATCTCTGGGTGTGTGAGATCTGTTTTCCACAATGACCATGTAGCAGTTCTATAACTCCTGAAATAAACTCACTTTACCAAATCTAAATTTCCTAATCTATCACTGTTCCAAAGGCTCAGGCCTAGGGCCACTCTCTGCCAACTTTCTCTGTCCTGCACAGTCCTTCAGATATCTGCACCCACTAAGGCCAGATTTAAGACTCCTCCCCTCCATCAGTGACCCCTCCCAAGGCCCTGCATCCAGATTCCTCCTGTAAGTCCTGCCTCTTTGGGTGGTGGTCTAGCTCACCCATATATTTCCAGGAAGGGTTCATGAGACAACTATTAAAGTGGGTCTCCAAAAGTCCCCCCCTTGATGGCCTTTTGTCACCTAGTTTGAAATGCTCCTGAGAAATCAACAGTGCATTTCCAATCTTCCAAAGTTGGTCATTTTTAACAACCATAGATAGCCTGAGCCAGCTAGGCTGGTATATCATACAAAGCTGTGTGCAAAGTTGCAAGCCCAGGGACTCCCTGGGAGCTGGGGACTCCAGGGAAAGGTCAGTGCTCACCTTCTGAGACTTTAACTCCTTAGTGAGCACCAGCACCTGCTGTTCCAAGGCCACCACTTTCTCCTGAGCTGTCCGATGACGCACCAGCCCTTCGGAAAAGAACGGGAAGGTGGTGCTCTGATGCTTGGTCTTCTGCGGGAGACTGGCAGGCAGAGAGGATTTGTGCACAAGCTTTGGAGAATCTGCTGGTTCCTTCCCTGCACAAGAAGAGAGACACTGAGCTCAGGATCACCACCAGTGGTTCTCAGAGGAAAGGCTTTGCTTCCAAATTACCTGCGTGACTCTTAACATGCAGATGGTTGGGCCCTAACCAGAGGCTTTGACTCAGTGGATGTGAGGTGGTTTCAGAGTCTGCATTTCTACAAAGTTCCTCTCTGATACTGTCATGGTGTCCAGGGCTCATGCTTTGAGGTGCACTGGACTGTGCACACTGTGCTGGTCACCTAAACTGTCATGCCCTTCCCCACCATCTGACCAGCAGGGATCTCTCATCCCATCCTGCTGGGTCTTAAAGATGCTGGTTCTTCCTGCACTAGCCCTGCAAAATGTCTTATTTTTTACTTGAGGATCCCTGGATAACTTTCAAAGCAAGTATGTTTCTAGGAGCATAGACTGCATTATCAGTATTCTGCATTCTTGCCCCAGGCAATAGCTCAAATATAAAATAGCTCTTAATTGGAATTAATTAATTAGGTACTAAAAATTGAAGCCAAAGAGTTCACTCAGAGCTACATCTCTTGCATTTTTTATTTTTGAGATGGGGGTTTTACTAAATTGTCTTAGCTAGACTCAAACTTGAAATCTCCTGCCTCAGTCTCCCAGAATGCTGGGATTTCGGGTTGTGCTACCATGTCTGCTCTAATTTGCTTCTTACTACCAGCTAAATTAGGAGTTTTATTTCCCTCAGTTAACTGCCTTGAAGCTTCATTATCCTTTTATTTTTTCCGGAGCAAGCACCAGCATCCGACAGATCACACACCAGATCGAGTCTGCAGTCCGCTTTTGGGAGGTCAAGTTTTACTGGAACACAGTCACGCTGTGACTCATTTGATCACAAATGGTGACCAAGGATTTTGGCTACTTTTACTTTTACAAAGGCAAAGCTGCACACCTGCAGTCTATGGCCACCAAGCCTCAACTATTTACTATCTGGTGCTAGACAGAAGACTTGCCAAGTACTGTCTTCAAGTCACTGAACTGTATTCTTAAGTGCAGTGTTAGAGAATCACTCCGCTTGGCCGCTGTGTCTCACCTGGCTCCTAATCTGTACTTTGGGACTCTGCCAGGAAGTTGCATCATGGACATTTCACAGCCTGCTTATATTGTCAAGGGATATGGACACACTTGTTCACACAAGACACACGTCACACTCGTTACAAGGCCCAACTGAGAAATTCCCTCCAGTCCCCTTGCACGTCCCTAAAACACTCTGCTTCATCTAAGAAAATACATGTAATATATTGATGGGAACAAACCAGTTCCTTGCATCTCCCACTTTGCCCTGGCTGCAGAGGAACTCAGAGCCACATTTGTGGCCCACCTCTTTTTCCTCCATGTGACGGAGTCCAGGGCCTTTGCATTGAGCTACATCCCCAGTCGTTTTAAAATTTCTTATTCTGTCCCTAAATCACCAAGTTTCCTAGGTTGTGCTCAAACTTGTCTCCTGCCTCAGCCTGCCAGAATGCTGGGATTGCAGGCTTGTGTGTCACCATACCTGGCTTGCTACCTGCTTTGACACACTCTCTGGCATATTACCTTGATGCTATCTAAACTTCCTAGCCCAAATGACTCATTTATTTTTCCCAACAGGTACTTCAGTAAATGACTGCCAATCCTTCCGGAACTTAGATGCTAAGGTATTAAAGATAAGGATGTGATAGGATTCTAGAACAAGGGAGAGTGAAGGCTTAAAAGAAGGGCTAACTTAAGTATCTTCTCTCTGCAGACCAGGCTGGGGTGAGCAGATAAGGAATGACTTCAGTAGGCAACAGGAGCCCCATCACTCTTGGTTTTGGTGACCTCACTCCAGGCCTATGAGACATCCAGCTGCACCAGGTGCAAAGTGGGATGTGGAGCTCAGCTCCATCCTCTGTGCTGTTACAGAGTCCTGGGGAGTAGACCTGCAGTGCCTGGAACACGAGCCTGTCCACCAACCCTGAGGATAAGCAGAAGAGGCACCATGCCCATTTCATAGCTGGGGAAAGCACGGTCTCAGGTAGTGGTTTTCAACAGGTACACTAGGATTTGATGGATTGGTTCAGAGCTGACAGGAGGGCGGAGCAGGCCAGGAGGAGCACAGGAGGCCAGACTCCTTCCTGTACCTGCTCAGCTCTGTCTGCGCTGTGTACTAGATTTAGTGTGTGCTGGGGGTGGAGACAATAAAGATGTACAAATGTTCCTCAGTTTATGACAGGATTATTTCCTGATCAATTCACTTCAGGGTGGGAACAGCATGAAGGGAAAAGGAATGTAGTTCACCTCACCTACCTAGTTGCCCTCCTAACTCGGCACCACAGTGCCCCGGAGAGGGTCAGTTGTTTCCCTTCATGAATACATGACTGATTACATGATTACATGAGCTATGGTTTGCTGCTACCATCCGACCATCTGACATCCAGAGAGTCTTGCAAAATTTTCAAGCCTGGGAGACCATCCAAAATCAAAACTCATAGCTTACAGTATAGCTCAGTGGTACAGCACTTGTGTAGCATACAGGGTGCCCTGGATTTGACTCCCAGCACTGGAAAAAAATTGAAATTCCAGGTAAAGTTCCCACTGAATTCACGTTGCTTTTGCACTGTTGTAAAGATGGAAACGTTACAGTGGTTGGGTCAGTGTGGTTCAGCATCATCTGCAGTTTGAAAAATCACTGACTTAGATGAGGCATCAGGGAGCATAAGGGGCCAGAAGGCTCGGCTTGAATTCTGGTTTTGTCATTCACTGTGTGGCCATGAGCAAGTCAGTCCCCTTCCTCATGCCTTAGTTTCCTCATTTATCAAGCACGGAGAAGGGCAGTGTCTATGGTGCCATTTGCTGTAAGCGTTCAGCAGGTCCTGTGGGGTAAGTGCTGAGCCCATGCATGGACGGAACCTGAAGTTCTCCTGCTAACTGAAAGGTGCCAGTCGCAAAGGAGCATGTATGACAGAGTCCTCACACGGGTAACACCCATACAGACAGCAGATCAGTAGCTGCTAGAGGCTGCAGAGAGGTGGTGATTGGTACCGATGGCTATGGGATATAAAGTTTCTCTCTGGGGCCATAAAAATACCCTGACATTGATTAGAGCGATGGTTACACAGCTCTGTGGTGTACTGAAATCCACAGGATGGTGCACCTTAAATGTGTGAATTATACGGTAAATGAATTACGTTTTAATAGAACTATTACCAAAAAAGTGCTTAATGTAGCTTCTCACAAAGCAACTGCCATGAAGGTGGTAGTTTGAACATTATTACTGTTGCTTTGATACAGCATGGACTTTCCTGTAGGCTGGTCACTCTGCTCTCTGGGGGCCTCCTGGGTACTGATTTCTCCAAAGTGGCCCTTGGTTTGCCATAAGAAGACTCCAGGTACTTCCCTAGCCAGTCTCCTCCCAGTACTTCTGAAGTGAAATATAATATGTCCCAGGGGCACTGATGTCAGGCTCTGGGAAGCCCCTCTGATGGTGTGGGTCACTTATATTTTGTGATAGAAACAATGAAATGCTATGCTGACTTAACTAACTCCGGAAGGCATTTTTATGACCTTTCCTTTATAAATTAACAAATGAAGAAAGAAAACAATGAGAACAGTATTTGTATTTATTACTTCAAGAACCATTACTAAGGGGTTCAGCTGGGGAGATGAAAGGTTTTGCAGGTAGATGGGGTGATCACTGCACAACAGCGTGAATGAATTAGTGCTACCACACAGTACATCAAAAAGTGGTAAAAAGTAAATTTTGTTTATCAGAGTGAAAACCTAATCACTCCTTAACCTGTAGAAACCCAGACATGACCTGGGGAGGTGCACCTCTGGCACAGCGAACTGAGTGTTTGTGGGAACCCGAACACCATTCCGGGGTGGAAGCCCTAGCCCCCAGTGTGGCAGCATTAGAAGGTGGGGTTTGGGGGCTGAGTGGAAGAAGAGGAAGGCATCAGCACCTTCCCTCTCCCCCACGACCGTGAGAAGTGCTGTCTACTGTTTCAGCCACAGTCACCCACGGAAGTTTGTTCAGCGGCAGCAGGAGACGGAGCCGCCCCTCCCACACTGGCTGGCAGAGAGGAGAGAGGGCACTCATTCTGGGCCAGGGGCCTGCTCTCGGGAGCTCACACCTGGTCAGAGCTTACCTGGGGCGCTGGAGTTAGGGGCCGAGGGCTGCTCCCCGCTCTGTGGAGACTCTTCCACGAGAGAGCCAGGGGTGGCTCCTTGGGCGTGCTTGTTGCCACAGATGGTGTGCATGGTGTTTCTGAAAGGAGAAGTGAGGCGTGTGAGCTCACAGCCCCTCTGCCCTCTCAGGGCTCACTCCACTGAGATGCCTCAGGTATCTGCGTTATGTACCCAAAATCAGGAGCCACTCTGGGCCCCCAGTCCCTTCTCTTTCTCTTTTAGCCCTCTCCACATACTCTGTTCCTATAACCTCACTGACAGACACCTAGAACAGTGCCTGAGATACAGGAGGTATTTCATACATGTATGTTGAACACATACTGAACGGACTTGGTAAACCACAGTTCCTATAACCACCATCTGGTCTTGGAACTATTGGCTCCAGAGCTATCAATGGCTCCAGTTCGCCCAAGATATATTACATTATCTTGTGGCATCTTCCTCCCTTTGCTCTCCTTCCCCACTCAGATCTGTCCTCTCTGCAGTCTCAGCTTCCAAGGAGCTTACTGTACCTCATGCTACCCCTTGTTCAACACTTATGTGGGCTGAGCCTCACAGTGTCATTTCTTCAGCACTGGGCTCTGAGAACCCAGCACTGGAGGAGGCATACCCAGAATCCAGGGCCAGTACAGGAAGTAACTACGTAGCACCAAAGGCTGGCCTGAGAACACACAACACAGAAAAACTCATAGTGGGCCAGATGGAAAGACAGCTCAACTGAGTTAATTTTTCCCTACAAAGAGGTAAAAACATGTGTATTACCAAATTAATACAGGAGGGAGAAAAAGAATGGAATTTACTAGGTCAGTTGTTTCAAACAACAGATTGTCCACTGGGAGGATTATAAAATTCATTCAGTGTCATTAGCAGCATTTAAAAAATAAGCACTGGGTGTGGTAGTACATGCCTGTAATCCCAGCACTTGGTAGGCTGAGGCAGGAGGATCTTCACGAGGTTGAGGCTGGCCTAGGGCTACATAATGAGTTCAAGGCCAGTCTGAACTAGAGTGAGACCCTGTTTCAAACAAAACAAAACAAACCAGAAAATATCATAGTGCATTTCATCTAGCTAGGGTCTATGCTTTCTGAATTACATATATGTGTACTGAGCTATAACAAGAAGTATATTTCTTATCGTGGTTATGATCAACAGTTTGGAACACACTGCACTAGGAAGGTACTTATTTAAGGGCACCAGGAGTGTAATTCAAAGAGGGGATATGAAAGTCTTCAGGCCTGGGTTGAAGCCCCAGCCTTGTTATATTAGCTTTATTTGTAATATCACCACTAGCAATAGGATGGACAAATATTTCAAAATCTTAGATACTGGATAAATACAAAACATAGTTTTGTGATACCTAGCTCAAGTTCCAGCAAAGGAAGGGACATACCCAGGAACAAAACACAAAAAAGGGACCTGAGACTCAAACAAGTGTAAAAGGGAAGACGAATGTTTAAATTAGGTTGATGTTCAACAAATGTCCACTCCCTCCCCACCCTTCATGAGAGTATGGCCCTTGGCCTCTCTACAAGAATTCACCTGTGAAGCCAACTGCTTTAGTATTTAATACTTTAGTATTTAATACTCAACTTCTTTAGTATTTAATAGTTCTATTCTGACTTTCTGTTTCTTCTTGAGTCAATTCCAACAATTTGTGTCTTTCTAGGAATCTGTCCATTTCCTCTAAATTATCAAATGTGTTGTTATATACGTGTTTAGAGTATTCTCTTATGGTCCTTTTTATTTCTGTAAGGTTGGTAGCAATGCCTTTCTTTTGTTCTTGATTTTAGTAATCTGCATTTTCTTCTTTTTAAAAAAACCCCACCTAGTTAAATGTCAATTTTTGTTGATCTTTTTCAAAGACAAACCATTTGACCTGAAACTTAGTTTTTAAATAATTTAAGTGTTTTGGTAGAGCTGAGTGTACAATAAGAAAAGAATGAGACTGTACTTTCATGGATTGATGGAAGGGAAAATTCATTAGTTAAATTAAGAGTGGAGAAGAAATAAAAATTCAGTACTGCAGCAACTGGCCTTGGAATTTGTTCTGTTATTACTCTGGTCCTATTGCAGACTTAGTTATTTTTGTTGTTGTTGTTGTTTTAACTGGTACCGGGCATCGAACTCATGACCGCACACTTGTAAGGCAGGCGTTTAGCCGCTGAGCTAAATCCCCAGCCCCTTCTTAGCTCTGACTTCCCCCATCTATAAATAAAGGAATGGTGGGTGTGTTGGGAAGAACAACACTGAGCATGAAGGGCATTGGTATTCACCGAGTATCTTTTTTGTTCTTTTTGTTGAGACAGGGTCTCACTGTATATTCCAGAATAACACTAAACTCACTATGTCACCCATGCTGGCCTCAAACACACATCGATACTCTGCAGTTTCTCAGGTGTTGTGACTACAGGCATGCACCGTCACACCCTGCTACTGAGTATCATTTTGTGCTGAATTCTGAGCTGGGCCTGTTACCCAATTTCACAAACCGCAGCCATGTGTCTTGTAGAGGAACCATAGCTATAGCCAGAGGTACCAACTGGGTGGGGTAACTGTCAGTGGGGCTCACACTTCTCCTTAGCAGGAGAAGTGCTCTTAACATATTCTTGGGCTTATGACCAGTCATCCCTGGAGTGTGCAAGGCATGGAAACCCCAACTTCAGTGCAGCAAAGGACCTGGTAAGCCATGGCACACAGCTATCTCCTCTGAGATAGGGAGCTAGGACACAGTGCAGATAGCCATTGCTCAGCTAAGCCACTGTGTTTGGAAGAGGCATCTCTGCTACAAATGTCTCATCTTCACTAGAGACCAGTTTTCTGAGCAGGATTAGCTTCATTCCAAAGGCCAGCCAGCACAGAGGCAATGTCATAAAGACATGTTTTGGAGGGATGATAGTGGACCAGCAGTGGTCTTCCCTGAGCCTCGTTTCCTGATTTGTGACAGACCCTGGGTGAGCCTTTCCCTGGGCCAACTTCTAAACTAAGTGCCACAGCACTCTGCTCATTTCACCCTCCTAACTGCTCAGTGAAGTAAGTGCTCTCATTAGCCCCACAGGACAGAGAGCAGAACTGAGATTCTGAGAAGCTGGTAACCACCACAGAGCTGGTAGTGGTGGGACTGCGCCTCAGAACTGGATGTCTAACTCCACGTTTGAGCACTGGACCACGTGATGACCCCTTCACAGATTTGTTCTCATACCTCAAGGACAGCGCAAAGCATCCACACGGTGCTCAGGAGGTCCTCCACACCTTCCCTGAGGACAAGCTGTGCTCTGGGCAGTAAAACAGCAAGTGCCAAGACCTGGAGGCCAAGAAGTGCAGGGACAGGAGCAGCTGTGGACTCTCCAAGCTCTCCAGGGTGTGAGGCAACTCACACCCTCTCTTGTGATGTTGCCTCACATCTTCTGTGGCTATCACAAGTGACACGAGGGAAGTGACACAGTGATGCTTTGAAACTTCCTTCCTTTCTTGGTCTCTGCATGTTCTCTGTTCCACTTCTGTGGCTGTGGCCTCTGCCAGGCATGAACCCAGCTCAATCTGGTGAGCCTGCCCTGGTTACTTGCTAGCCAGATGGTTGAGCTTCTCTTCCTCTTCCCACCAGCACATTCTCAATGCACCCAGCTCCTCCTGGGGGCTGAGCCCCTGCCATGGCTCCTCCTTGTCCACTCACGCTCTGGGGGATTGAACATGGTCCACACTCACCATCCCAGCTCAGTCCTCTTCCCTGGGATCTAGGCCTCTCCATCCAAATCCTTGTGGGGTAGTAGGCCTCAAAGGATACTCATCTTCTTCTAAAACCTGCTTATTTACTGGGACAGCTATGACCATCCTCCTAGCCACGTAAGTCAGCAAAGCTAGCAGAGTGATATCCTGTGTCTGAATCACACACAGCCAAAGTCCCTAATCCTAGTCCAGGCAGCAATCTATTTTGCTTTCTAAGAGGTCCCAGTTCCTCCAGAAAATAAACACCCAAACAGGATCAGTATTGGGCATAGATTAAATTCCTGACATATTCTGAATTGGAGCAACAGTGGTATCTGGGCCATTACATGTTTGTTGACTGTCAAGCACAGTTCTAAAAAGTATTCTCTCATTTAGCCCCAAGGTAACTTTATTGGGCAAGTACAGCTGTGTTTATATTCACTAACAAGGTAAGTAAAGCACAGAGGAGCAAACAACTTGCCAAGGGTAACACAGCACTTAACTAAGCCAGTATCCAGACTCAGGCAATTTGGCTCCAAAGCCAAGACTCTACTGTTCTTTTTGACACACTATTTACAATAAAACCTGACAATGGGAAAGTATATGAAAAAAGGAAAGAGTTGATACATAATTGACATACAATACTTTGCACATGGTAAGGTGAAAGTAATTTGATGTGCCTCATATATGTAAACATTTGGGAAACCATCACATTCCATTCCATTCAGCATGATCTCAATTTTGCATACCTATGCAGTGGGACCTCCATTTACAGTTTCATTTGCAAACAGTTTGGCTCACAAACAGAAGTGCTTGAAAAATTTTGTTTTTGTTTGCAAACTTTGTATTAGGTGACAACACACTTGCAGGCATCTTTCCCACAAATGGGTATCAGGAATTTGGTCTCAGCCATGAGAGAAAAGTAACCAAGACAACAGGATTAATTAAAAATAAATCCATAATCTCTCCCCAGCCCCACCCTCCTGCCGGACAGCAACTCCAGGTGAAGCTCTGCAGAGATGGGTAGCAGGGGCCTGGCCGGCCCCTCAAGCTCACAGCACTTACTGGATTTCGGTTCCCAGGTGCTTGAGGGAGATGTTCTGAAGGCGCAGGGCCGTGGCAGGGACAGGCTGCAAGGCAGCTTCAGCACCCACAAGCCCAGGGGGTGTTTTCACAGGGTGCAGGAACTCTTTCAGCTCGGCCTCCTCTTGCTCTAGGGAGCCAAGAACAAGATGATCACTCCACTGGGCACTGCACTGTGCAAGAGTGATCTCAGGGCTGCTCTCACCCCTAACTGACAGCAGGCAGGGCATGGACGGCTTGCCTTGCAGGTTAACGGCAGCAAAGAGGGCTTTTTACTTTATGCGACACAGCCAGTACAATCACGCATTTTGCTTGAGCAGCCTCTTGGAAACGCCGTAAAAATAGGCAAACTTTCAGAAGTTTCTACAACTGAGAGCTCATCCTAAAGAAGCTGAAAATGCAGAGAAAACTTCCTGTGTTAAGCAGTCATCTCAGTATTGTTTACTTAGCTTCAAATTGGAAATAACTTAAACACCTAAAAACCTGGAAGTAGGTTAGGTAAATCATGATGCCTCTGTAGAGTGGGATATTACTTGATGCAAATAATGTTAACAAAGAATTCTTGAGAATGTAAGGGCTGAGCCGGGTGTGGTGGTACACATCTGTAATCCTAGCACTTGGGAGGATGAGGCAGGAGAGTTGCCGTGAATTCAAGGCCAGCCTGGGCTACAAAGTGAGTTCGAAGCCATCCTGAATCACGTAGTGAAACTCTGCCTCAAAAAGAGAATGTACATGCTGAGTGCAGTAGTGAGCACCTATAATTCCAGCACTCTAGAGGCTGAAGCAGATCATACATTTCAGGCCAATTTGGACCAGCGTGAGATCACCTCAAAAGAACATAAATAAATAAATACATAGGTTTGGGGGCAAAGTTCAGAGGTTAAGCTCTTGCTTAGTAAGCATACCAGGACTTGGGTTTAATCACTAATATTTAAAAAAAAAAAAAAAGAGGTCACTTTGAAGTGTAACAAAAAGTAGAAATGAACCAGGAACACTTAAGGGACTTGACTAACCAAGACATTTACATGGTAGCACACATATTTCATTTGGAATATTCTTACTAAGAGGGTGAAAAAAATTTAGAGGGAGAGGAAATGTAGTTTTACATTACATCTACAAAGAGGGCTGTGGATGCAAAAACATTTCATACAGTGGTGAAGGTCAGAGGGATTGTTGGACTTTCTTAAGAAATACTTGATTATCATTCAAACAGTGAATAACGCATTTGCTTACTCTTAATAGGTTCTATCAGATGGTGAAGGCCAATCAATATGCGGCGACCCCAAGCTATCCTTTTCGTGTCCTCCTTTCAATTCACCCGCTCTCCAAGCATAGACCAGGTGTCCTGCTTGGGGGCTTCCAGGTGAGGATGGAGAAAGTAGGATAAATCAAAGCTGTAGGAAACAGGCGAAGGGAAGACACACCTCAGGGACACCAGGTGAGCAAACAGTGGGGTAGGGGTCATTCTGGGAGATAGACAGAGTTCTTTCAAACCAAGCCAGCGAGGATTTCCATTTCCTGGAGAGGGGCACAGAAGCTGATTTGGAGCAGTAGAAGCGCAAAGTACAGGTATAAGCAGCAGCAAAGAGAGCCAGAGCTGAGCACTTGGGTAGGGACTCAAAGGAGAAAGAACTGGGAAGGTCACAAGAGAGGGGACTTGGCTGGGAGACTAGACCTCACTGGGCTGGAAAGCCGAGCCCCCAGGGTCTGGGCAGGAGCCTGAGCCTGAGGCATGGACTGGCTTGAGCTGGAAGATCTGAGGCCAAGCCTCATTTCCATGAGGGGGGTGCTGTGACTCAGTTGGGAAACACTTATAAAAAATAGGATGCATACTCTTTACTTTGTCTCTTTCAGAGTTAGTGTATGGAAATATTTAGAAAAGAATAAGGCCCCATAAATGTGGACCTTAATCTTTCAAAGTAGTCTTTTTGCTCTGCCATTAAGCTATATCCCCAGCCCCCGCCCCTTGTTAAAATTTTATTTTCAGATAAGGTCTTGCTAAGTTGCCCAGGCTGGCCCTGAATTTATAATCCTTCCACCTCAGCTTCCCTAGTAATTGGGATTATAGGCATGTACCACAGTGCCCAGCTAAGATTTTCTAGTTTATCAGCTACTTTAAACCACCTTTCTTTTCCCTTATTCAGAGAAAACAAAGTAAGAGTCTTCCCAAGGTTTTAATATTTTAATAAGTACTTCCAGAATGCCAATGTCTACTTTCCTATAACCTCCTTCTGTGGCCGAGATCCACTCTGGAGCTACACAGAACTGTCTTAGGGGTTAACTGGCATCGCTCCTTGGTTACACCAATGAGAAAAGAGCAGCTTGGGCTGAGTTTTGACAGAGTTAAAGTTAGCAGGTGACACAATTATGGAGTCAAATGCAGTTCCTCGGTTTTGCTTTTCCATCAAATCACAGGACTGTTCAGGTTTTGAATAACGGAGGGTTCTAATGGGACGGGCTGTCCAAGAAGTCACAAGCCACAAGCCAGTGTAAAGGTTCTTAAAGAGAAGGGCCACACATGATGGCCATGCTAGTCTGGATAAAGGTCCTCGGTAGGTAACCTATCCAGCAGCATTCGGTTATGTTCTCTCTTTGCTTGAGCCCAAGGCCTGCTCCTCCACAAGTGGGAGAAGTCATTGTCAAGCAAAACAGGGCCTGTGCCAGGTCACTCTTCCCTGGAGGCCACTGGACAGCTGGGCCTCCCCAGCTTTGAAAGAAGGGTCTGCATCTTCTGATTTAAACATTAGTGCAGGCACTTCCTTGTTAGCATACTCTGTTCTTCTATAAAATGGGGATAACATCTGTAAGATTGTTGTATAGATTAAGTAACACATGTCAATTGTTAGAGAAACATCAGTAAACTGTATATTTTTAAAAAAGAGGTTTATAAAAGCTCTCTAAATTGTAGCTTACTTTAGCAATGTGTTATTGACATAAATCTGTTGCTTTCCTTTTGATTTTTTCTTATTTATTTTTTGTCTTTTTGAGACAGCATCTCACTATGCAGTTCAGTCTGGCCTTGAGCTTACTTTGTAACCCAGGCTGGTCTTGAACTCACAACAATCCTCCTGCCTCAACCTCCCGAGTACTGGGATTACATACGTGTACCACCACACCTGGCTCCTTCTGAATTTTCTTAGGTAGAGTTTTCTTGTAGAGATCATTGCTTAGGCAAAGTATAAAATCATTTTGTAAATGCTAAAAGGCTGACAAGAACATGCCTTGCAGATTGCTCGAGGGCAATGATGGAACACTTTTTACAGGCCAGAGTCTCTGTGACTCAAAGTCAGATGAGGATCAGGAGGTTTGCAATCCTCTGCCTCCCTGGAAGGGTGGAGCCTGGGAGGTGAGGCAGCCTGTTGCAGACAGCTAATTCAGGGCTTGTCAGCTGGCTGAAGATTTCAGAAATGCCTTTCTGGAGGGCATGGAGAACACTTAGGTTCAGGTCCTATATCTGGGAAAATGCAGGTTTGCTGTGAGGCAAGGAAAGGCAGGGGAAGCTCATACTTCCTTCTGCTTCCCAAATCTCATGTTTGTGTCCTCTGGGAGCCCAGTGCTCTGGTCACTAGGGCAACCACCCCTTGCCCCATGCCCACAGCAAGCTCTCAACAGGCCTGGCCATGTGTGCTAATGCAAAGCCACAAAATTAAAGAACTCATGCCAGGTTTGCTACAGCAAAGAGGCCTGGGAGATCCTCGTGCCATGCTTCTGACAACACAGTTCTTCAAAGTACACTTCAAGACACACAGGAAAGAGGGCTTCTCCTTGTTTCCAGTCTGAGGCTGATATTTGTACAAATTCATCAACTTAGGCTAAAATTTTCTGCACAGCCAGAGTTGCCTGGCTGCCTAGTAAACAGAAAGTGGGGGGTATAGTAGAAATGTGGGGGCAAAGAACCCTTCAAGAGGGTTGATGCAGTTATGGTATTCACTTGTAAGTCCAGTTACTTAAGAGGCTGAGGTAGGAGAATTGTGAGTCTGAACAACTTAAGGGTCTAATCAGAGAGAGGTGGGGGAAGGAGGGAAGGAGGGAGGGAGGCAGGAGGAAGGGAGGTTAGAAAGGAAGACTTTCTAAAGAAATTATTAGTAACAATTAAAGAAGTTATTGTACTAGTAATAGCATATCCATGTGTACTATTATGATATATATGCATCTACACTATTATAACAGTAATAGTAAAAATATACATGTGTGTACTATGATGAGAACGATGACATACATACGTGTGTATGTAAGTGTGCATTATAGGGAAAGTTACCATGTATTGAACGCTTACTATGCTCCTGACATTATGCTATGGGCTCTACATTCCTTTCCTCACTCATGAAGCTCAATATATTCACTCATACATTCCCTCAATAAATACTCAATGTGGTAGGCAGAACACCACACCTGGGGACACAGGGAAGTGTCCCCAGGGAAAGTGGAAGGGGTGGAAGTGGACAAGGACGTTGGTAATCACTGTGTAGCAGGCTTCCATAGCCTGAAGTATGAAGAGCCCGTACAGAGTCCAGGTGACAAAGTCTGAGAGGAGACTGAGAAGATAAGGCGGTGACACTCAAGGAGCAGAAGGAACTTGCTGGGCAAGAAGGAAGGAGAACAGCACTGAGGCTGGCACTGCTGAAGCACAGCACAAGGTTGGGGTTGGGAGCTAACAGGAGTGTGACCGGGAGGGACAAACCCTGCGCACTGTGTACGGAGCTGGACTGACCGGCTTGGTGACAGATGGCCAGGGAGTGGGTAACGAGCTTGAGTTTTTGTTTTGGAAAGCCTACGCCGGCTGCTGTGAGAGGAGAGGTTCAGCCAGAGGCCTAGACACAGGGACACCAGTGAGGAGGCTGTCCTGGTTCTTCAGCTGAGAGATGAGATCTGACCCATACAATGGCAGGGAGGAAGGCCTAGGCAAGAAGAGCCAGCCCAAAGCCCGGCTCAACTGGCCAGCTGTGACTGAAGGAGCGTGGCAGTGACTGTGAGCTGCTTCAGCAGCTGGGTACAGGACAGCCACCTACACAGGGAAGGGCACTGAGGGAGGAAAGAGTCGAGGGAAGATTCACTCCGATTTGGAGATCAGGAGACAACGGGTGTAGTGGTGCATGCCTATAATCTTAGCACCTGAGAGGCTAAGGCAGGAGGATGCCAAGAGTCTGCAGAAAGGCTAGGCTAAGCTACATAGTGAGTTCAAGGCCAGCCTGAAAAAAGAAAAAAAAATCCTGTCCGAAAATAAAAACAGGCATGGTGGTTCGCACCTATAACCCCAACACTTGGGAGAGTAGGCAGGAAGATCACTGCAAGTTTAAGGGCAGCCAGGACTACAAAATGAGTTCAAGGCCAGCCTGAAGTGCATAGCGGGACCCCATCTCAAAAAGGAAATAAAAAAGAAAAGAAAAATAAATAACAAGGGCTGGGGATAGAGGCCAGTGTGAAAGGCCGGGGCCTCAATTCTCAGTACTGCAAACAACAAAACAAAAGAAACCTCCTCTGTGGGTCATGTGAAGCAAAGAATTCTGTTTTCTGAAAACAGAGGGATAAAATCATGAATGCACCCAACTCTCAACACAAAAGCAGCTGTGGAAGAAGCCATTACAACTCACATGAACCTCACAGCAAGTTTGTGCAGGGTTTATTTCTCAGGACTGTCTCACGATTGTCACGGTCATAGCAGCTAATGTCTGCTGGGTTCTGAGCATGTGCAGGCATTATTCCAGACACTTCAGGTATACGGATTCATTGAACCCTCATAGGATTCCCTTACAAGGTAGATATACTTCTTACCCTCATAGGGAAGGAAACTGAAGCTCAGGCAGGATAAACAATTTGCCTTAAAGTCACATGCAATTAGGATTTGTATATTTCTGCCCTACCTAATATAAGCTCCAGCCTTGCTCTCTGCTTCCTTTGCAGAGCACTCTTCCCACTCGCTCCCAACAGCAGGGTAAAGGCCTGGCCACCACAGCCCTGGTGTGCAGCAGGAGGCCAACCCGTGGGTTACCTAACTCGATGTGCAGGGCAGGCCCATTCCTGGCTGGGGTGGTGTCAGGGGCGGTGGGAGGAGCAGGCGGGCCGCTGTGGAACTCCCAGCGCTTCATCTGCAGCTGCTGCAGCCAATACAGCATCACTTGCTTGGTGGGGGCCTGAGAAGCACAAAGATTAGTTGGCAAGGTCCTGTGCCTGCAGGGTGGCCCTGGGCGTAGGATAAGGGGAAAGTGTGAGTTAACACCCACTGCTGAAACACCGCATGCTTCTGGCTGTGGAAAATAACCACCCATTCAGAGGTTTCTTAACCTGTCTGAGCCTCCATTTCCTCATCTGTGCAATGGTCAAAATAATAGTCCTTCATGGGATATTTATGAGGATGAAATGAGACAAGAAAAAGAAAGTACCCAGCACTGTACCTGACACACGACAGGTACTTAAAATGTGCACATTGGACAGAGGAATAGATATAGGGTAGAGAGGGAAAGGGCTCTGGATTTCTGACTTTGGGTGCATCCTAGTAGGTTCTCGTTCTCTCTCTCCAGCTTTCTCTCTCTCTGACATCTGCAATTCTTAACTGTCTTTTGGTGGAATGGGGGTAATCCCTCCTGCTGGAGGGATTCACTGAAATCCCAGATGTGAATGGGGACTGGAAAGTCACCTGCACGCTGTGACAACATGCAGCACCTGCAAACAATTTACTGGTTGAGGCTAGTCATCAGCTTCCCAGTACTGGGTGGCCCAAACACCCACCCTCGAGCCCACTGACTCACTGGATCTGCCAAGAAAGAGGCGAGGCCGGCGTGAACAGCCCTTCGGCAGAACTGTGGTTGCGGAACTGGCCCCAAACCTCTAGTTTCCTGTTTCTAGACCTGAATTTGGCTGTAATTTATGGCCAGATTTGTGGCTTACATAAAAAAAGGCATGAAATTAGCTGATGTGAACACAGAGGATGGGCACTCACTGGGAGCAGGTGATGAGTATCTGGAGCTGCCTACAATCAAGGCCACATGAGAAAAGAAGGCTACATGGCAACCAGGGCAAACTCTGCCTCCCACATCCCAGGCTGGGACTCTATGAAAGAAGCTCTCGGTAAAATCAAACGATGCCCACTGCCTTGTCTTTGCATAAATTTACCGAGGGACCTCCCGAGGCTTCACCATGATGTTAAAGCTGATGAGCTCCAGCAAAACCCAAACACTGTTTTATTATATAATTCATGCACCTACCATATGAGTCTGGGACTGTGAGGGGCACTGGAAGACACCATGGCGAGTCAACACACATTTGGGACTGAAGTCTACTTAGGAGAATTATGCCCTATGGGAGTCTTCTCATTCTGAGTTGCTCTCCTGTCAGTGACCCAGCCAGGCAGCCATATAGTTATCAGGCCCCTGACGCCTCTACAATATTCCACTTCCCTAACATTCCTATCCACTGCCATCTGCCTTCCTTCCCAGGGCAACAGCTCAAGCTCAGCCACCGATTCCTTCTAGATCACCTCCTGATGGGTTCTCTGACTACTAGACCCCTCTTCCCTGAATTTGTTGTATACTCAATAGTCAGACTGAGCTTTCCAAGCATCTAATCTCTGTGCTTCCCTGCTTAAGTCTATTCCATAGTCTACCAGGCAATTTTTATAGTCTACTGGAACAGAATTTCCAGTCTGCCAGGCAAAGTCCAAGCTTATTAACCTAACTCACAAATGCACTACCATCCCCCTCCAACTCCGTCATTTGGACCCCCACATATGTCCCAATCTCCTGTGACTTGCCTGGACACTGATGCACAATCTTTGCTCACAGGGCTCTCTTGGCCTGGTGCACCCTTCTCCCTTTTGCCTCTTAAAAATTTAGTTCTTCCTTCAAGCCTCAGACAATACTTTTCTGGATAACCTCCTCTCTTGTCACATACTTTTCTTAAGATTTGTCATAGTGTCACTGTGCTGTATTTTACTGTGACTGCCATTTCCTCCATCAGTTTGGCCTACCACATCTTAAGCTATTTGGGAGTTAGCGGGGGCAGGACTGCCTTGGTTCCCTACCCCAGAGCCTAACACAAAGTCAGATGCATCCATGGATCAGTGGCATAGTAAAAGCCACGTGTTGGAAACCCTGTATCCAGCCCATAATCTGTGGAAGGAAACACAAAAAACCTAGGAACCATATGATGTCCAAAATGCCTTTCCTGGTTTGCAGTTCCTAGTTTCCAGTATTTTAACGAGTGAGTCCCCCAGCCCACTCACCGGCCAAGCCCCACTAAATGGTGAGTGCCCACAGAGGCTGGGGAAGAGGCAGATGAGCGTGGGGAAAGGGAGGCTATTTCCTTGCAGTCTTCTCAGGCCCATACAACTCCTAGGCAGAGCTCTTTCCAATTAAGTGACCTGCGTTCCACAACCATGGATGTGCAGGTGTGTTCATTCAATAAACACTTACTAACTGCTCACTAGTTTAGACATGTCCAAATGAGCAACCTAGGCTGATCAGTGTGTTTATCTTCCCAATCCCTGCCAACGTCAGCATTCACTCCCCTTGGCCAAAATATCAAGAAGTGAATCACAGTCTCAGTCTTGAGGTTTGCAAAGATGCTATCTTGATCATACTTCAGTCTAAGAAGGAAAGTGAACTACGGATTCAGGCACACACAAAAGTTGAAGTTTTGATAGAGCACTGAAAGCAGAAAGACTGCAAGATTCCAAATAAGGGCCACACCACTCGAAATGCCTGATCTCCAGCTACACACGTCATCTCTTTGACTCAGTCTCCTGATCCATCAAATGGGTCCCTTATCACTGGCCCTGGAATCTCAATGAGAAAATGGGTGTGAATGGGCATTGGAAAGCACAAAGCTCTAGGCGCAAGTTAATGATCACTGTTTCAGTCAATTTACAGCGACCACACACTGGCGCCCGGTTGAGCCCTGGGAACTAGGTAGGCATAAAAATCTCAGCTGAAAATCAGAAAAGTGGTCCATTTACCTTCAGAGTGATAACTCGGTTAGGGGTCTTGATTTCGAAAGTCCCCGCTTCAGCGTCCGCCTTGCAGTCAAAGATTGCAGCAGAGAGGTCAATACTGTCCAAGGGATTAGCATCTTGCGCCGTCCGCGAATAGTAAAGGTGGCATTTCCTCTCGTCATAGAAGAACCAGCGGGATTTCCAGCCCCGCATTGGCCCTTTACCACCAAATTTACGCAAATACCCACAAAGTTTCTTGGGGGCCGCCTCCGGGGACCGAGCACGGTCCTCCGCCTCCTCAGGAGGCCCCACCTCGGGGCCTTGGCCCGAGCTCGCAGACTCTTCGGACCCCGAGGAGCGGGAGTTGGACTGCGGGACGTCCTCCTGGGCGTCCTTCATTGCTGCAGACCAGCGATCGCGTAGGGACAAGCTGCCCGCTGGATCGCTGGGCCCAGACCTCGGCGACTCCGGGCACCTACTAGAGGTAGACACCTGAGCGGGGGCGGAGCCATCGGTGGACCCGCCCCCAGAAGAGGACTGGGGGCTGCAGCTGGAGGTCCTATTGGCGTTTCAAAGACAGTAATTTCAGCGGGAGGCCGAGGCAAGGGAAATCGCAAGTGCGAGCCCAGCTTCGGCAACCTAGAGACATCGTATCATAAATAAAAATAAATAAATAAATAGGCAGCAAACCCAGGTTAGGGGCGGAGCTAGTCCTAACAAGGCCCCGCCCACTCCCCCGCCCCTCCCTACTCCCCGCCCCTCCCCACTCCCACTCCGGCGCTCGCCCACTCCCCCAGGCCGCCCACATCCGGTTTTTCTTTCGCCCAGATCAGCCATCTTTGCTGAGGGCAGCTGTGGCGCGTGAGATGGCACTCAGATAAAAGATACGATGATTTTGAGGTAGGTTAACCAAACGAAAGATGCAGAAAGAATCGCTGTCCTTGGGCACGCTGCTGTGGTAGCCCGCGTAGTAATGCAGGAGGATGGCGCCTTTAACTGTTTCTTGAGTTGCACATTTTTGCCTTACTGGTGCCCTGCGGGCCACCGTCGGAGGGCGCATCACGCCGCCATTGGCTGAGAGGGCGCCGTGTTCCGGGCCCCACTTCCGGCGTTGCTCTGAGCGTGCGGCTGAAGGGCAGCCTCTCCCGCTTGGCAGTAAAGTTTCCGCAGCACCTCGGACGCTGCAGGCGTTTTCCGCCTCTCCCTTGTCTCCTATTTACCTCCTCCCTGCAGTGGGGCCCTGACGTCCGGGTATCCAGGCGCGGTCGCTGCGGTGCGGCAAACAAGTGACACGCCTGTGCATGGGTTGGGCGCTGTCCGCTGCGGAAATTAAAGCACCCGGCGTCTGACTTTCTCAGCTTCTTGCTTCGTTTTACCGCTTTCCGTTAAATTTCTCCCCTCTTCGCTCCGGAGGCGCTTTTCTTTCCTAAGACTGTGCATCCAGTTCCGGGCCATCTTCTGAGGGTCTTCATCGCTCTTCCTCCTTCCCTTCTGTCCCTTCTGTTACTTTTAGCGTCTCCTCTACGCGTTCCTTAGCTAAGTGTTAGTGCAGGTCAAGGGTGATAATCAGAAGCGGGTAGGGTAACGATGAGGGTTTTGGAGTCCATTTGCATGAATTTTAGATTCTAATGGCAACCCTAGAGCTATTTACTCACCTTAGGGTTTTTTTTTCTTTCTTTCTTTCTTGGTCTATAAAAAGTCAGTGATAGCATCTACTTCCTCCTAACAGCGGGGAGATTGTATGGTAAAGCTGTAAGTTCAATTTGGCCCAGAACTCCGAGATTTAGACTCTTCTAGGTGGGGGGTTGGACCAGGAAGAATTTCTCCTAAGTCCTAGAAGAGATACCTTAATTTTATTTTCTCGTTTCTCAATAAACATCATCGTGCCTAATTTTGTGTTTATAATTTTGTATTTTTTTCTGAGAAGACCCTGTAAAAGTTTCAATCCTTACAAGACCTGGATCCATACCTTTTTACTTCTGGAATGGTTTTGATAATAATGTGTAAGAAACTATTAATACAAAGGAGGGGATCCAATAAATGTTAGCTATAATTAAACAGCAATAAAATGGCCCACAAGGCAAAAAGAGTACATCACAAAGAGATCTATATATTACAGAGTTCACACCACTGAAAACTGGGAAATAAATTGAGATGAGAGATTTTAATACACCATTTTTGATCTACGGAAGCTTTACAATAACTAAAAAAGAGGCAGATGAGAATGTGAAAAGGTTGACTTCGGTAGACGACATCTAGTTTTCTATATTGTTTCATGTCAGAAGAAATTTTTGGTTTCCAAAAAGTAGAATTTGTGAGTTCTTAGCTACAATATGTGAAATTTGAAAATAGCAAAAAGTTAATCATAAAATCTAATCTCTTGAAACTAAAAATAAGTTACCTAATAACTGTAGAAGCTGCCATTGTAAACTATTTCATAGGGAGAATGGAAGACAAAATGTCAAAATTTAGCACTGCCTTATCATTGGAGTTATATTCCAGATTCAGAGTTTTAGTGCCAATTAAAATTTTAGTACCTTGGGTAAGTCATGGAATTTACCTGAGTTTCAATTTTCTCATCTGTAGAATGATAATGATAATATGTGCCTTGGACTGGACATGGTGACACGTCCTTGCAATCCCAGCTGCTCTGGAGGCTGAGGGAACAGAATTGAAAGTTCCAACTAGTTCCCTGGACAATGTTGGTAACAAGTAACACTCTCTGTGTCAAAAAATAAAAAAAAAAACCAGTGGAGGGAGCACTGTGGTGGAGCACTAGGCTAGTATACACAGGGCCATTGGTTCAGTCCTCAATATTGTGAAACAAATCAACACCTACCTCATAAGCTTGAAATGAGAATTATATGATACTTACAAAGCACTTAGCTTAGTACCTGCTACCCAGCAGTGACTGTGGAAAGCTATTATGGGATGTGGGTGATGTTCTCAAAAGAAATGCAGTCCCCCAACTCCCCACCCCAGTGCAGGAGGTGGAATGCATGGCCTCATCAAGTTATATCCCCAGTGGCCTCCACTTCGCTTTGTTTTTTGAAACAGGGTCTTACAATGTGTTGCATGTTGCTCTTCAACTCAATGTGTAGTCCAGACCGGCCTTGAATTTGTGATGATTTTCTCTTGAATGCTGGGATTATAGCTGTGTGCCACCATGCCAGGATAGAAATTTAAAATCTTTAAATGCTTTTATTATTTAGTACAAATATAAAAACAAGCATTCAACTAAGAAAAGCAAGAGAAAGAAATTTATAAATTTAAATGTTTATAATAAGGGCTAGATGGCAGATACATATACAGTATATCTGTTATGTATAGTTGTACTTTATACAAAAGTTTTTTTGTACCTCAAGATAAAATTTACACCCATTTAGGGGTAGTTGCCCTTGTGGAGAATGCTTGGTAGTGGGATACAGGGTAAAATCAGAATTTCAAGTTGGTGAAACTTACTTGTTTTCCATGTTTATTTCATATCATCTGTTTTAGCCCATCCATATTGTTACAGTAAAATACCTTAAAGTAGGCTATTTATTTATCTTTATTTTATGTTTTTGAGACAGGGTCAAGCTATGTAGTTCAGACTGACCTTGAACTCCCTGTGTAGCCTAGCCTGGCCTGCAACCCTCACTGCCCCTCCTGCCTCATCCTCCTGAGTACTGGGATTACAGGTGTGTACCATCATACCCAACCTTAGTAATTTACAAACAACAAATTTATGTTCACATCTCTGGAAGCTGGCACAATCAAAGTGCCTGCTGATTTTGTGTCTGGCTAGAGTTTGTTTTCTGTTTCAAAGGTGGCACCGTGTTGCTGTGTCCTCACAAAGCAGAAGGACACTGCCTCCCTCAACTTCTTTATAAGGGCACTAATACTACCATGAAGGTTCCATCCTCATGACCTAATGAACTCCTTAAAGCCTTGCAATATTGTCACAAGAGGCATTAGGCTTCAACATGTGAATTTTGGATACCAATATTTAGACACTATCACCAATTATGAAAATAGAGTTTGGGTAGCTGAGAGAATGACATACAAAAAGTGAAGCCAGGGCTGGTGATATAGTTCAGAGGCACAGCGCCTATCTGGCAAGTGCAAAGTCTTGAGTTCGATTCCCAGTACAAAAACAAAAAGTGGAGCCACAACATAATGCAATGACAGTGTTATTCAGCTTTAAAAGGAAAAATACATGCTACAAAATGAATGAACTTGAGGACATACTGCTAAGTGAAATAGACCAGACAAAAAGATACATACTATATGATTCCATTTGTTTGAAATATCTAGAATTGGCAAATTCACAGAGACAGAAAGGATAATAGAGCTTACCAGAGCCTGGAGGGCTGGAGAAATGGAATTTATTGTTTAAAGGACACAGAATCTCTTTCTTTAAAAAAAAGTTTATGGAAATATGATTGATATATAAAATTAATGCATCTATCTTAATGAGTTTGGAGATGAATATACACTTTTAAAACCATCACAACTACTGCCATAAACATATACATCACCTCCAGAAATTTTCCTGTGCCCTTTCTATTTGTGGATACAATAAACATGAAATCTACCCTGACAGCAAAATTGTCAGTATCCACTGTATTGGTAATTACAGGCAATTTGCTATCCAGTAGATTCTGGTACTGTTCATCCTTCATAACTGAAACTTTGTATCCCTTGATCAACACCATCCTTCTAGCCCCTGACAATCACCATTCTGTCCTCAGCTTCATAGATTGAATTATTTGAAATTTATCATATAAGTGGTATCATATAATATGTACTTCTGTGTCTGGCTTATTTCACTTATAATGATGTCCTCTAGGTTCATCCATGTTGTTGCAAACAGCAGGTTCTTCTTTTCTAAGGCTGAATACCTCTCTTTCCTTCTCTTTCTCCCTCTCTCTCTCCCTTTCTCCCTCCCTTCTTCCCTCCCTCTCTCATTTTCTTTGTCCATTCTAAAGATACAAACTTTCTTTTGGAATTATGAGAAAGTTCTACAAATGGATAGTGGTGATGCTTGCATAGCATTATGAATGTACTTATTGCTACAGAATTGTGCACTTAAAAATGGTTACAGTGACAAATAACTCAAGTTTACCCTTCTTTATGTCAATAGTATACCACTATGTATAAATACATTTTTTATCTATTCATCTGTTGATATGATGTTTCCAAGACTTAGCTATTATGAATTGTGCTGCTGTAAACATGAGTATCCAGGGGTGGGGATTTAGCTCAGCAATATAAGAGTCTGCCTGGCAAGTAAAAGGTCGTGAGTTCAATCCCCAGTACCAAACCAAACAAACCAAAGCAAAAACAAACCCCAAACAAGCATAGGTATGCATACATCACTGTGGTATGATATCTTTAACTCTTCAGGGAGGTTACCTAGAAGGGAAATAGCTGGGTCAAATGGAATTTCTACTCTCAGTTTTTTGAGGAATTCCTGGATTGATTTCCTTAGTGTTTGCATCAGTTGACCATTCCATCAGCAATGGGAAATGTTTCCTTTCTCCCCATAGCCTCACTAGCATTTGTTACTGGTTGACTTTTTGAAGGTAACCATTTTTTTCTGGAGTGAGATAAAATCTCAGTTGTTTTAATTTGCATTTCTCCAATAACCAGTGACATTGAACATTTTTTCATGTACTTTTTAATTGCTTATATTTCTTTATCTAAGAAGTGTTTGTTCACTTCAGATGTCCATTCTTAATTGGATCTTTAAATTTGGGGGATATAACTTTTTGGGTTTTTTTTTGTACTAGAGATCAAACTTATGACTGTGCACTTGCAAGGCAGGCGCTTATGCTGCTGAGCTAAATCCCTGACCCACTTTTTGAGTTTTTAAAATACATCCTAGATACTACTCTTTTGTCTTTGGAGTAGCCAGC